TTAAGAATAGGCATAAATAATTACATTACAGCGTCCTAAATTTTTTATTGCAAGGTTTGATAAATGACCGAGAATTGCGCGGTTTTCCGGAAGTTCTGACGATTTCAAAGGAAATACTAATCATGAACGACTTCTGCAAAGGACAACTTTTTTGGGTACGTATGTCGTTTTAACAATATTATTATGAACTTTATAATTTCTGGTTTACGTTTTAATTAAAAATGTTGAATGTCTGGTAGACTTACCCCCCAAAGTCTTTTTAATATATATTTTTTGCCGAGTATTAAAACACAGAGAAGCCTGCATATAAGATTTATTATTATTATTATCATTTTTTAAATTTGAAAAATTTTCATTGTTTAATTGTTATGTAGGCCTACATGAGAACCTTTTTTACCTTATGTACTCACATATTTAGTTCTGTGATTTTCATTGATAGCTCAGTGTGATATTTCCGAGTAAGCAGTCATATGAAATTGCCAAAAGATTTTACAGTTTGGATTTGATGTACCCACCAGAAATAGATACTTTATTTTTAACGATATTTTGTGCTTGTGAAATTATAAATGTACTCTTGAAAATTAAACGTCCTAGGCTTTTTATAAGGAATTAATTTTTTTGGCCTTCAGCGGAATTTTTGCTTAAAATGCGTTGAAAAAATTTCAACTTGAATTTAAAAAATAATAAAATGCTCTTAGACCAAGGCTACAGTCATAACACTGGTTTACTGCCTTTAAAATGTAATCAAAGTAAATTAAATCATGAAAACATCTGTGCACATGTTCTTCTAACGTCCCCCCCCCCCAACAAGGATAAGACGAGCTGGTGGAGTGACACGTGGTTAGACCTGACAGAATGTTTTCAAGACGTTGTCTTCGAGATCATACCATGCGCATTCTTAGTGCTCCTTTCTCCCATCTACGTGATCCTTCTGTTGTCATGGCAACGCCGAGAACAGCCAGTGTGTTGGATTTTCGGTTGCAAAATGGTAAAATTGCACCAACCAAAGTTAATTTCGAGAACACAATTTTGATAGACTTATTGATTCAATCTTAGCTTAGTTAACTCAGCCACAATATCTGGGACATGCCTGTATGATCATACAAATAAGAGGGCCATGCATACATAGTTCCATGACATTTTTGAAGTTATTTACACCCCCCCCCTTTTTTTTTCTACCTAAATCGTCACAAATCTTTCTTTTTAAAAAAAAATTATACACCCCTACAAACATTGTCACAAATATGACCCTACGCCTGCTTAAAAAAAATAATAACGTTTGACGTCATTAATGGATTTCAATCACCCACTTTCCAAGATGCCTAGATACAGTTGCTGCCCTTTTTTTCCTAACCCCACTGCATTATTCTTTGTTAATTACGATTGCCTTGTTTTTCTCTCAGCTGTTTGTGTGTCTTCATGGATTATGGGACACAGTTGCTTGTGTAGTGCTATGGGCAAGGGAAGGTCACCTCACTGCTGGCTCTCTTTCTATGCTTGTGTGGATCTTGGTCGTAGTGAGTTCAATGTCCTTTTTCTTAATAAAGCTTTATCATCTAATATTCAAATTGACCCCAACTTCTGGCTTTCAATCCCCAGTCTGAAGTCGAGTGTGGGCCGGGCGTGAATCGCCGCCTGTTAATACTAAGTAGGCTACTTTAGGTGGTGATGTGCACAGACCCACGTACGGCTTTGTCAGTATAGCATTGTGCCTGTATATATCTAAGAAAGGCCTTTTTTCTCTTTATTCTAATACGTAATACGTAAATCAGTGAACGGGTAACCTTATGTCTATATGACAGACGTATTTTGCTTCTCACAGAACGTAATATCTCGCTTCAAGGTCTTGTAGAACTCTTTTATACTCTGAGAATTAAGGCAGATAAAACGTTTGGATAGTTTGGATTCAGAAATTTGTCCAGCATTGTAACAGTATTTTGTTTATTGCGGCTGGCCTCAACTTAATTGTCATCAGTGGCGTAGAAAGGGTTTGCAGAGTTAAGAGGTACAAGCCGGTCGGCCATTCTGAGTTCTTTCATTATATGGAAAAGCGAATTTTTTTCAGCAAACTGCACAGTTTTGTTTTCGTGGAAAGAGGGTGGAGACGCTAAATTATTGGCCCACCCCTGAAGCCACTGACTCTAGATACGGATTTAGTTGTCATCTTCAGAATTTAATAAATCTAGCTCAAATGTTCACTAATTATAACCGCAATTACGTGGTTCTTGTGTACATGTATTCTGGATTAATGACTCTTTTATGAATACTGATGGAGTCTGTTTTTGGTGTGGGGTCCAAACTTGAAATGTGGTCGCATGGGGGTAGATTGGAGATGCACCAATCTATATTAAAGAACTATTACATTTTTGGTTGTAATAATTTATATTCTTTGATACCTGTGTTTGACAATAACTTCAGACAGCCATTTGCAGTGTTTCCATTTTTTTTTTAAAATCCAGATCTTGAACCTATTTATCATCAACATGGAACGATTACGTGACATTGTGAGGTCAATGCTGATGTTTACATTCTGGCTGATGGCCACTCTGTGTCTGTTAGGAAAGTTAAGCTCGGCGATAACAAGCAGAGTAAGTTTCCCAACGGTTTTTTGTGACACAATTTCATTTCTTTTTTTTTTTTTCTGTCATTAAAACCATGTAATGTAGCTTCATGTTCACCACACTACAGTAAACAAATAAATGTCAGCTTCATATTTTATGAAATGAGAATAACTCTCTAAGTCAGTAGGAACTACTTTATCGCGTCGTCGTGTGGCTTTTCACTGAATAATTGTCTAATTTTTATTGATGTAAAAAAAAACATTGGGGCGGGTAGTCTCCCCTTGATAAATACTTCGTAAATAGATCGTCAGTAAAACACGGATACTTTTTCTGAGTCAAATCCGAGCCCTTTATACTTAAATAAATATAAAGAAATAGGATTTTAGCGATGGAGATAGCATGTAAAACTTGCTACATGAAACTCATTTAGATAAAATAAAACATAACATTCTTTGTCCATGCAGGAATATGACAGAAATGAATTCCGATTAATAACAACTGCTATCAGATTCCTCATCACAAGTGCTATTTTTATTCTGACATGCTTTTCAGAATATCACAGTAGGAAAGAAAAGGTTGGTCAAAAAGAAGCTTTAAGTTAAAAGAACAAAACATAAAATATAAATTGGTCAGAACCAGCAAACTAAATTAACTAGACCTTATCAAAATGAGTATTTGAAGAATGATCTGCTATTCAACTTCAATAAAATGGATTTAAAAACTCATAATGCCTGTCTAAGTGGGAAATGTTTTTTTTTTTAAAATTTATTTAAATAAAAGTGTAACATAAAACTGGAAAATAACTCTTTTTAAAGTTGTCATTACAGTAACAACTAAGTCATTTATGACACACAAGGAATTTTAACAATACGAATATCTCTATCAATGAAAAAGGGATACATTTTCTTATGATTCATGACAAAAACAATTTTTAAATTACAGGACCACAACCCTGAAACTGCTGCATCTGCATTATCTTGGATTGCCTTTGCTTGGCTAGAGGGGTAGCTGATTTTCCCTTTTAAAGTTTATTTCTCATTATTTCTGATTAGTTTTGATTTTTATGTAGATGTAAAAGATTATTAAATGCCGTTTTATAAAACTCTTTTAATATTTTACTATTTTCAATGTTTCAAGTATTGCTACTGTCTTGTTTCAGGCTAATGTTCCTTGGTCACAAGCAGCCTTTGAATGAAGATGACCTTTTCAATTTAAACCCTGAAGACACTTCAAGTGTTATGAATAACAAATTTGAAAAGTCCATTAATAAATTAAAGGAAACAAGGTTGAAGGCCCAGATTTTTTTTTCTTGGTTCTTTTGACTGTTTATGGATTCATGGCCATTTTTTTGCACTTTGGTTACATAAGATTTGTGGTGCCTGTTGGGCCTTATATCTTTTTGTTTTGTTTGCAAACATATTAACGTCCCCCTCCACTAACCATTCAGCATTTTTTTCTATGTTCACTACTTTTATCCCATAATTATTTGCTCCCCTGACACAAATAAAATTAGTTTGAAATTTCTTTTCATTATTTTTTCAGAGAAAGCAAAAGATGGTTCAGATCAGATGTTTTAAAAGTATTTCCTTGGAGATCTGACGACTGTGAACAAACTCAGCTTATCAAGACTTCAAGCCTGAATGCTTCCAAATTTTATGTTACACCAAAATACAGTGGCAATACGACTGACAATGTACACAGTTTGACTCTTCTGCACAAAGATAAAAAGACCTCGTTTTTCTCAGCATTGGTAGCAACATTTTGGTGGGAGTTCATCTACAGCAATGTTGGAGCATTTATTTGTGTTGTGATGAATTTATGTGCACCATTTCTTCTAGGGTAAGTCAGAAATGTTCTGTTATGTTAAAAGCTTTCAACCTTTCTATATTGGAAATCTCTCAACAAATGTGGGTATTTGTTGGAGTAAAGAAATTTCTTTTACATATAGCTTTAATTTGGATATTTCTATTATGTTTCAATCTCACACTTACAATGTATTTAATTAAGATGGAAAAAAACAGTCTGCTTTGTACGAACATTATAAAATGGATATTTTTCTTCTTGTACTTGAAAATTTACTAGATTGAGAATTTCTACATTTCTTCAAGTTATTTACCTTTTAATGTTTTAATAATTTTTTAAATATAATAAATTAAATCCACGTCCATAAAATGAAATCTTTTCAAGAAACATTTACCAAAATTACTTTGGATCTTAGAAATATTTAATTGTAAATTTTATAGCAGAATAGCTATGATTTAAAATATCTCATAGTGAGCTCTAAATTATTTTTTCTTTCTATAACCAGCTATTTTAATTAGAAGCTTAATTAGAATTAAGAAAAAACAACAACTCAGAATGTAATTCATAATGTATTTCAGGCTATTGATAGACTTTTTAAAAGATTCAGATGCACCTTCATGGCATGGATATATTTACATGCTGGGCCTTCTGGCAACAAAAATTATTAACTCCGTGTTCAGCCAGTCTTCACAATATCTGTGTACCAGACTGGCTATACGTGTTCGAAGTGCAGCTATTGGGGCTATATTTCAAAAGGTTAATGGATTACTTTAAAACAATTTAAAAAAAAAAAATTTGACAGTCTTTTTTAGATTTATAAAAGGCATTAACAGTGCTTTCAAATTGTAAACTTCAGTTGGCTTTATATTACTTAAACAAATTCATGTCATTCAAAATATGAAGATGATATTCTGGTTAAATGATGTGATTAAATAGTGATATGGAGTGCCTATATAATAATAATAATAATAATAAAGTTCATTTCAAAAACACGCTTCATCCCCAAAGGCTCGAAGCGCGGTACAAAGTCAAAAAAAAACCAAATCTATAGTTTACCACATTTAAAACAAACGCAACACGACAAAAACTAAGTACAAGCATACAATGGCAAAGTCTTTCTAGCCATTTCAACCATAAGCTTGTGTCGGTAATACGTAATTGACCTTTATAATGTTGACAATCATCCCAGAAGGTGTTTGCGAAATAGATGTGTCTTTAAATCGGTTTTAAAGGACTCCAGTGTCTGGTTGTTTCTGAGATCGACAGAATAATTTTTCTTGAACTCTTTACATCTGCGAGTATGGGAAATTCCCAATAACTGTTAATTTCGATGAATATTTTCAGTCACTGAACATTTCAAGTGAAGCTAGGAGACAATCAAACTTGGGGGAAATAGTGAATTTAATGTCAGTTGACACCAATCACCTGGAGTTGTTTCTCTGTTCTGTCTATTGGCTGTGGATGAGCATCCCACTTCTGATATTGGCTATTTTCTTCCTCTATGAAATCATCGGACTGTCCATGTTTGCTGGTAACAGAGGTTGTTTTATGTCTTCTTGAATAAATTTCTTTTCAACCAAAGGATTTAATGTCAAATGAATATTTTACAATTATTTTCACTTTCCTAAGAGGAAAGTAAAATGAAATTGTATCCCAATAATCTTTTATTTAATCTTAATTAAATGCAGCATTAGTATGAGAAAATCTGTCCAATTCCTTACAAAATGATTTTTCTTGCCATGTTTAAGAGAGTAATAAAAATCCATCTTACCAGTAAGACAAATCAGTTAACTAAATCAACAACTTAATTCTATTTCAGCTTTGGGAGTTATTTGTTTTCTTCTTGTCATGAACCTCATAACTTCCCAGGTAACAAGAACTTTCCAGGAAAAAATAATGAAAGTAAAGGACCAAAGGCTAGTTATGTTGAGTGAAGTACTTCAAGGTATAAAGGTACTTTTAATTGCATTCAGAAGCGTTTATAAGTACCTAAACATTATTTTTTAAGGTGAATGAGACATTTTATGCACCCTAGAATAGTTACAAGTAATGAAATTAAAATGCTTAGCTATAATTCGTTAAACACTTTATGGACCCTAGTTTTATCAATAGGCTAATGTGTTTTTCTTTATCCAAAGTGCATACTACACTTTTGCAGCATATTTTCTTTTTTTTTTTAAAGATTTTTTTTGTGCTGTGTTTTTTTATGATTATAATAACTTATTTTTCTTTGCAGCCTTAAACAAGGATTAGTGAAGATTCTTTTTTTTCTGCTGTATTTTATACTATAAATCCCTTTTGTTTCTTTTCCATTTTCAGGTTATCAAGTTATGTGGTTTGGAGGAATGGTACATGAATAAAATACTGGATATACGTAACAAGGAACTAAAATTATTGCTTAAATCTGCTGTGGCACTTGGAATAGATACTTTTGCATATACTGCATCAACTTTTTGGGTAAAGAACTTTAATCTTCTGTCTTTATTTATCTAAAACTTAAACAAGAAGCTCTTTAAAATGGAAATTTATCAACTTCAAAATCCCTTTTTGATATCTGATTAAGCCAAGTTTACAATGAATTAAAATTAAAGCTAATAAAAAACATTACTTTGAGGTTGTTTTCCAATTAAAACATCAAAGCATTATTTCATTTGCCTTATTAAAGACTATATCACTATTGGTGGGATGCTTTGCTTAAATCAAATGCTTTCTCATTTCAGATAATATTTTTTACACTGCTGATGTATGTTTTAGTTGATGAAAGTCACCATATAGATGCAACTAGCACATTTCTCACCATAAACTTTATCTTCCTCATAAAAGGAGCAATCATTAATTTGCCAATTAACATTAGATATGCAGTGAAGGTTTGATATTTTGGAATTTAAGTTAGGCTAATTCTCTATAAAATTAAAACTCTCAGATTTTACTGCTTTAAAAATGTATATTAATACTATTAATACATGCAGGGCCCGCTCAAGGCGGGTATGATGCATGATCATCACACAGGTGCCAAGGCGCACAAATCACCAAAGGCATCAAAATTTGCTAAGATTAAAAAAAAATTAAAAAAATTCTTAACTGTTCCAATAATTTTTGAAAGGGCGACAATTGCCTATTTTCATCCAACCTAAAAATGTCTAGTGCTGGCCCTGAATACAAGACTAGTACTCCTGAAAGGAGATGCCTACATTTAAGTATTGTTAATAATTGTATGAATATATCATATTTAAGGATTGTCAGAATGAAGGCTGTAAATGTTAGAAAATCAAAAGGCAATGTCTACCTAATTTATGTAAAATAGTTATTTACTTCTTGTATTGTAAACTCTCAAACATTTTTTTATAACTTTAAGGTAGCATCCTCTATTGAGAGAATAAACAATTTTCTTCAGACTGAAGACCTTGATCCAAGCAATTTGTCTAGAAACATTAATGATGGTATTTTTTATTTGAATATTTGCCTACTTTATTTTTAGTCATGTACCGGTATACAATTAAATCTTCTGAAACATTCATTGTCTATGCAAAAATTTAGTAATGAAATAAATATTATGTATATCCAGGGTAAGCTACCCTAATGCCAATCATTAAATGTGACAAATAGAACATTATAGTATGGCATGAATAAATTTGTCAATATAAAAGAAATAATGTATTTGAGGCTGAATTAAAATTTAAAAAAATAAATAAATGCACCTGATTCTTAAAAATAAGTGCATAAAAGTTGGTAGGCCTAATTATCCAAATTCAAATTATTTTGATTAAATTGTGAATCTCTTTATGTAATTTCTACATAAAAGCATAATTCCTTGCTCTATTTACACTGTGGTAAATCTCCTTTCACTTTGATCACAACTGTGAGTATTTTGGAAAAAAAATGTTGCTCAGCATTAGAATATATCATTAACTACAAGGCTCCAGGTCATATAATGGAGATGGTGACATTTATTTATGTCGGTTTTTATTTCAGAGTTGGCAATAAGGGTGATTGATGCTAACTTCTCCTGGGAAAAATCTGGTGACTTCACATTAAAAAAGTAAATGTGTGATTAGTGATTATTTGTTGTAATTTTTGTGCCATTATTTCTAGTGTAAGTTCATCATCATTTACAGAATATGATGAAATATTTTGTAAAACTGGTGTGTCATTATTTATAGGCTCTTGTTGATATGATAAAATATAAATACTTCCATGTGGAGCCATGCTTACTATCTTTTACATTCTTTGGAGATTTTCTAGGAAACATCTTGAATCAGGTTGTTAGGATAATTGAATTGATCATGAGCATACTTTAGACAACAAAATTATTTTAGAACCATTCTTTATTTATATGTATTATGTAATTAAGATTTTTATTCAATAGCATCAACTTAGAAATAAAACCAGGTGGCCTGGTGGCTGTTGTTGGACCAGTTGGTGCTGGTAAATCCTCACTGTTGGTGGCACTGCTTGGTGAAATTAATATTTTATCTGGAATGGCCAATCTTAATGTGAGTAAATATAATTGTTGAAAATTTCATCTTAATTTATCATTTAAGAGTTAAATTAAATTTCATTGTCTTAATAGGAAAATATTTAGAAAAAATAAAGAAAGCCAAATTGACTTTCTTCATTATCCACCCTTCATTAGAGTTTAGATCTTAAATTTTCTTCAAGTCTGCATCTCAGTTTTAAGTGACATTTAAATATAATAATATAAATGAAGGTATAACTTTTAATTTTTAATGATCTTGTGTTGCTTTTCAAAGCAATGCTCCTCTTAAAAAAAAAAAAATTAGCTAAATTTCAATAACTAAATATAAAAAATATTATAATGGCATGAGAACTTCAGTCATCTGTAGCATATGTTCCACAACAAGCCTGGATCCAGAACACAACTGTACGTAACAACATACTATTTGGGCAATTATTTGATGAAACATTGTACCAACAAGTTTTAGAGGCCTGTGCCTTGAAACCAGATCTGGAAATGTTGCCTGCTGGAGATATGACAGAAATAGGTGAAAAGGTGAAATGAAGTTCTCTTTTTCACGATAACATAACTTATTTGCACCTAAATATTGTCATTACAAAATAATTTTTAAAAAAGGAGTTAGAAAGGAAATATTTATAATTATATATTGACTAACAATTTTTTATTTATTCAACTTTAACATTTTAATCAAAATTTTTTTTATAAATACCTTAATAAAAATTTAGGGAGTGAATTTGTCAGGAGGACAGAAGCAGCGTGTTTCTTTGGCCAGAGCAGTTTATAGTCAAGCTGACATCTTCCTTTTTGATGACCCACTCAGTGCTGTTGACAGCCATGTTGGGAAACATATCTTCACTCATGTCATGGGCCATGATGGTCTTCTTGTAGGAAAGGTATGGGGCTTCTAATATCATTTGTAATCTCATGTAATTTTTGTTGAATTTTGGCTTTATTTAATTTAGCATGATTTTATTATTATAAGTGGAACTTATTTTGTGAGTGTATCTTCTAGCCAAAATTATTTTGGTATTTGCATGAAACTAAATATTTAGTTGACTAACCGTTGTTGCATTGTTTAACACCTCTCAATGTGTCTTTCTATTTCTTGATCATACACAGCCAACTCCATATTCTGACAAAGCTCTTTACCACCCCCCCCCCCCTTTTTCCCCTTTTGTCTAGACCAGTTCAAATCTTGATATTTCATTACGCAGATGTCCAGGGCTTATATGTTCACAAACAATCAAGATATTCTGCACAAGTTTATATTTCCCAAGTCATGAATTTTGACTGGGCAGTAATTTCAGTATGAAGCAGTAGTATGTTAGTTGAGCACTTTGTAATGACAGTTTTTTCCCACAGACCCGTCTTCTGGTCACCCATAGCTTGAACTGGTTGCCAGATGTGGACTTAATAATTGTGATGAATGATGGAAAGATATCGGAGGCAGGGACATTTGAAATTCTAACAAAACATCAAGGAGCTTTTGCAAAGTTTTTGGATCTGTATTTAATTCATACAGGATCTGAAAGCAGTATTGCAGATACTTATTCAAACTATATTAGTCCAGGTATTGTTTTTAATTTTCATTGGAGAATTTGTACTAAATTTAAATACTGATACATACAATTTTTCAGTAAAATTATAGGTATAAACTTAAAAAATAAAATGATTGAAAACATTAAAAATGGAGACAGTTGCTTAGTCATGAAAATATTTTCCTATGCTGTTGTCAATATGATCATCTTATGTTGTAAGTTCATCAGTTTATTAGCTGCTCTTTAGCTTTACGCTCTTCACCGAAATTTAAAAAAAATAAATGTTTGAAGTAAATTAATAGTGCTAAAAATTGTTATAATATTTATTTACAAAATATGAAAATGAAAAAACTTCAGTAACATTTTGTTTTTTTAACACTTAAGTTAATTTTATTATAGCTCCCAATAACACAAATAAAGCAATTTTTTATTACTGTTTTAGTCGTACTAACAGAAAAAAGGTCTCAAGACATTAGGAAGTCCATTGAAAGGTTTGCTTTATAACAATTTTTCATTTTGTAACAGATTTATAAAAGTAGAAATTTAAATGGTGTCTATATTAATTTAATTTTGTTAATGTGCATTTAATATAATGACATTTTTATTAAAATAACCTTTAAATTATAAAATGTTTAAAAATATCAAAGATATTTATTTGTTTATAAACATCAATTTTGACCAAGTGGCAGAACCTTATTTTAAAATATAAAATTTAATGCAATAAATTTAATAAATTAAAATAATATAGACCTACATATATTCCATTGTATAAATAAAATTGACCAAAGGAAAAATAATTAACAATTCTCTTGCATTATATAAATATTTTTATACTTATTATTATCATCACTGAAATTATTTGTTATGTATTGAACTAAATCTGTATAGCACAGACATTTACTCTACATCTCGGGCTATCATGGATGAATGTAATCATGACCTCGAGGAGAAGAGCAGACTTATCACTAAGGAGAAAATAACATTTGGAAAAGTAAGAGTTACCAGTTACCTTCATTACCTAACAGATTGCATTATTGAACACTTTTCTTAATAGTTTTTTAATAGACCTACTATATATTTTAACCAGTCTTGATATTGTTTCTACAGAACTAAAGATTCTCTTTACTAACTGAAATTAACTTATTTTAAGAAAAAAGGTGCTTAAATATTGTATTTAGACTTTTAAATATGTACTTCAAGGTAGTAAGACTATCCATACAAGCATTTTATTTCTATAAAATTATATTTTTATACTAGCATTTACTGACATTTGTAAATGCAGGTGACATTTCACAAATTAAATAAGCAAATGAGGAACAATTTCATTCACATGGAGGCCTACATTTTGAATTTTTTGTGCATAAAAATTAAGGCTATTTAAACCATCATATATTCAAATTGTACAATTAGATAATAGGGCCTAGTCATCATTTATTTTTTTTTTAAAGTATGGCTGTTAATGCCAACTTAAATTTTATACAATTGCCTTTGCAGTTTATAAGGAGTGCTTTAAAAAACACACACATATTTTAAAAAAGTACCTAGGCCTATGGATAAAAGTTTCATGCTGGACATCTTTGAACATGTTAACTTTTGAATTTGTTCTTAAACATTAGAATTTATTTCAAGAATTAAATATATTTCAGAAAGCAGAGATCAAACTGTAAACTCCAAATCTGCTTCCCAGATCTTTTGAAGTAAAGAAAACATTTTTTTTAAGCCAACATAATTAATTATATTTTTTTTTTCATTTGAAAACCTAGGTCAAATGGACTGTGTACTTGGAGATTCTAAATGGTTACGGCAAAATGTATGCATTTCTCTCAGCTATTATGATTAGTGCATTTCACATTGCTTACAATTTCTCTTTCATCTGGTTGACAAAATGGAATGATGATGATAAACTTGCTAACACGACAGAATTACCAGCCTCTAGTTCAGAAAGATTTGACAGAAACCAATATTTCATCATAGTCTTTGCAATTTTTGGTGTACTGCAAAGTGAGTTCTGAAATTTTTGTTGATGTTATTTAAAAGCATGTGTACTAAAAAAATAGAGCAGCTACTAGGAAAAGATGTGTTATGTTGAACTAATGATAAAATATACAAAGATAAACGGAAGATAAGATATAACAAATCAACCTAAAAACTGTAGGAACTGAAGATAAGATATAACCAATTGAACTTAAGAAAAGATATTACAAATTAATTGAAATATTAAAATATAACAACTTAATTTAACTGAATATAATATATAAAAAATATTGAAGCAATGTAGGTTTTTAAACAGGTCCATAAAGAAAATATTAGCCTTTAAAAAAAAATAATTAAAAATAAATCCAAGCAGAATGAAAAAAAATTCAGGTGCTCCTCTAGTAAAATGTAGAAAATCCTAACACCATCATTGGTTTGCTTTGTTATACATTCTATTAGCATGTTGCAACTTGACCTCACTGAAGTCTAAATTCTATATTGCTACTCTTACTTAGTAACAATTTTTGTACACAATAACTGCAACAAATACTATAAACAGATTGAGCACCAATAATTTTAAAGAGCTCATAAGTGTTCAAACCCTGTTACTGTCTAGGATAAAAATGTAGAATTTTATAAAATCAATTTTCCTCTTGAAAATTATAGCCCTGTGCTGCATGATGTATGCTTGTGTACTGCAGTACCGTCATGTGGTTACATCACGAGTAATCCACACACAGCTGCTGAATGGGATTCTCAAAGCACCAATGAGTTTCTTTGACACAACACCCATGGGTCGAATACTGAATCGTCTCAGCCAAGATCTAGATATCCTGGACAATGACATTTTCTTAGAGCTTGAAGTCTACATTGAACATGCTATGTTTTCGATTGGCATTCTGGTCATAATATGCTATGCATTTCCAGCCTTTATTGCTATTGCAATTCCAGCTATTATTATTTTTTTCCTTGTACAGGCAAGTTAAAAAGATAACATTACCAGTTGTATAAAAATTAGCTGTTTTTTTTAAAAAAACAAGATTTTCATTAATGTTAACTTTAAAAGATGCCATTTAAAAAAACAACAACTATACTCAGGCACTACTTTATTTACTTGAGACTAGTCAGACTGTTAACATCTTAGTTTGTCCTGCTACTTATATTTGTAACTTTATTTCTATAAATAAATGAACATTTTTGGTAACATAGTTGAGCCTTTAGAATTAGAATTTAAATAATTTCTTAATTCATACTGATGAGTGCTTCAAAAAATAATTTCATTATTTGTTCACTAATTTGTTGAATATCAATTATCCAAATTTTATTTACCCCACACTTAAATTAATAATAGTTTTTTGTTCCAGCAATATTATGTAAAAACATCTTGTCAACTAAGACGTATTGCAGCCAAAAATCGCTCCCCTGTTTTTGCTCACTTCAGTGAAATGTTGTCAGGGGTTAGTGTTATAAGAGCTCACCAACAGCAGGCCAGATTTATTGTGGAATCAGAGGCCAAAGTAGATAATTTACAGAAACCAATGGCAATATCATATGCAGCCAGCAAGTGAGTTTTATAACATAATAAAGCATACTTAAGGCAAATGAACAGCTGCAAGTCAGAACAAAATACAGAACCATAAAGAGTATTTATGGGCAAAAAATCCACAAGGGATAAACAAAAAATGAAGGAAATATTTTAACATGACAGTGGGGACACAAACATATTAGGAAAATGAATGGCACACATCTAACAAATAATGATTTAGAACCCCAAAATAAACTGGGTTATTTTTTCAACCATGTTAAAATGGATTCAATTTTATTTAACTAAACCTAATAACTGAGAGACAGGGGTTGAATATTTTGACTTTTCATATTCTTATTTACAGGTGGATGCAAAGTCGACTAGATATAATAACATACTTCTTCATTATTGCCGTCACTATTTTGGCAATTTTGTACAAAGGAGATGTACCAACTGGTCTTGTCAGCTTGTCTTTGACATATGTGCTAATGGTAAGAATTAAAAATAACACAACAGCCAACGCAATGAAGCCTTACATTTTTTCCATTTAAAGGAATAAAGGAAAAACAAATAGAATATCATAAAATCAATGTATAGAAAATATCTCATAGTTTTTTTTAAATAAGTTAGTAGAGTAAGCCCTTACCTGAAAATTCTACTTATTTAGAGTTCATGAGGATTTTTAATAACAGATTACTTAAAAGTAACTAAGTAAATAATAAAAGGTTGGTAGGTATCATATTTTGTGTGAGCCTAGTTTAATTTTCATTTTGACAAAAATGACCTTGTTGCTTTTATTAGATGACCAGTGAGTTAACATTGGTGACTCGAATGTCAAGTGAACTGGAAGCAAACATTGTGTCGGTGGAGAGGATGTTGGAGTATTCAAGTCTTAAACCTGAGGTGATTTTAATCTTAAAAACATTACTTACAAGATGTTGATCTTTGGATAAAAATGAAGTTGTAATGTTTCTAATCAAATTTTTCTCTGGTTAGCTCTAGATATCAAGTATAATGTACTTGTTCAAGTTTTGTAATGAATAATATTTTAACTATGGGAGAAAATATATGAGTATCCTTAAATTTATACAATTGAAAATTCTCTTATGTAAAATGAAACTAGAAAAAGAATATTTCAGGATTTTAAAGAATCAAGAACCAGTCATAGAGAATTAGTGATCTGTTAGTATTTTTTGTTAATTTCCAAAAAATACTAACGAAAAAATGACTAGAGGTACTTATCACTCAAACTGAGTTTTCTTTATTTAACTCTGCTGGACCAATTCACAGGCAGAATGGGTTTTACCAGGGGACAGCCCAGCCCTTGACATGTGGCCATCACTGGGTCATATAGAGTTTGTCAACTACAGCACAAGGTACAGGGATGGCCTGGACCTAGTGTTAAATGATGTTAGCTTCACAATACATCCAGGAGAAAAGGTAATGTCTTGAAGATTTTATTTACTATTGCATTCTTCTAGTGTAAGATAACCATTATGTTCAAGTTCTTTAAACTTTTAAGGTATAAAAGTTTGCTTATTTATCACACCAAGCTAAATATGAAGCAAATAAAATAGTTCATAAGCAATTGCGCAATAGTTTGTAATTTTTATAATTTCCCCTCTAATTACATTATTTCAGCCATTATATGTTAAATAATGGACCATTACATTCCTTAAAACTCATGTAATTCACCAAATTTAATATACAGTAATACTACCCTGACTGATTCCCCTCCTCTGACCGATAAACGATCTTGCTGGCTGCCGTCCATGGTTTGCCTTGTAAAATTTATGAGGTGGGGTGGGTGAATATACATTGCTGTTCTTTATTTCATAAATGTATTTTATTTTAATGTCATGATTATGTTTCTTTTGATAAAAATTTTTATGTACAGCGCGGTGAGACAAGCCCCAGGCTGGAGTACCTCGCTATATAAGACCTCTTATTATTAATTTATCTGGTAAATCCATGTTACATTGAATTGATGTCATTATTCTGTTTGCTACTATTTCAGATAGGTATTGTGGGTAGAACAGGGGCAGGTAAATCTTCTCTGATGCTTGCAATGTTCAGATTGACTGAGGCAGCAAGTGGACTCATTAGAATAGATGGTGTGGATATATCCAAAATTGGTTTACATACTTTAAGACGCGGCGTGACTATACTTCCACAGGTAACTTGAATTCTCAGAAAAATTATCGAAGTCTTTAAACAAAATAGGGTTTATCTCTCAAAATTAGTCTGTTGTTCATTTTGAAATATCAAAAGAATATTGATGATAGTTTCAGCATTTTTTGAAAATAATAAACAGATATTAAATCATTCAGTATTGTTGAGACAGGTTAAGTTAAATCCATTTTAATTGATTCACAGAATTATTATTTTATAAACCTTTAACACCTATTTTTCCCCATGAAATAACTGCAACTCTTTTGATCATGTATAGAAATAATTCAACAAGCACCACCTGTGTGGTTTTAGCAATCATATACCATGTTATAACATATTCTCACCCCATTACAGTAAGTTATGTCTGAAAATTGAAATAATTACAAAACAAATGCAGAATACAAAGTACTATTCTGTTTTTTGACAGGATCCAGTATTATTTGCTGGCAGCCTGAGAGTGAATCTTGACCCATTTAATAAATGTTCCGAGGATGAACTCTGGCATGCCTTAGATCTGGCCAACCTGAAACCATTTGTGCAGACTTTATCCAAAGGGTTGGAACATGAGGTTGGAGAAGGGGGAGGTAAGCTGAGGTAAGCATTTTTTTGGTCATAACCAGTTATGTATTGTTAGAATGATGTGAATGTGATGCCAAGCCCTTTTCATTAATATTTAGGCAGCAAGATATACAATGTACCAAAACCCTCTATTTTTGTGTGATTGATATTCTCGTTGTAGTTTATTTCAATTACTATTACATTATGATTCACCTTTCATAAACAAACGCCTTTCATATTTATAACATTTACTAGTGGCAGCTTATAGAAGTACTGAGAAAATATGTTGATTCCATTATTATCATATTGTTTTCAAATGTGAAGAAATTTGAGTTACGTTAAACATGTTTTCCCCTAATTTCAGTATGGGACAGCGGCAGCTCGTGTGCTTGGCAAGAACTCTACTTCGGAAGACAAAAATTCTAATTTTAGATGAAGCAACAGCAGCAGTTGACATGGAGACTGATGACCTAATACAAAGGACAGTTCGCACTGCCTTCCAAGATTCAACTGTACTTACTATAGCTCACAGGCTCAACACAGTATTGGATTATGACAGGTCTGTATGGATACAATGCTTATTTAAAACTGATTTTAAAACTAAGTTTTTAGTTTATTCCAATGAAAATATTTGTATATCAGTGAATAGCACATAAATTTCAGAAATTAAAGAAACAATTTTCTTAATTGCTGTGAACTGACAATTTTAGAAAAGATCTCATTCAGAGCCCATATTATCCAGCACAACTAAAAAACATCCTATATAAGGAGAAGGTGGGTAGTAATCAATCTTTCCTCTTTTGTGTTAGTTTTCAAAACATCCCACAAAAAACTGTAATGAATGACTTAATCAGTGCATGCACATTTTAAAAAGCAATGAGACCGTTATCATTATTTGTAGATGAAAACTATTTTGAAACAAATAAATATTTAAGCCATTAAAAAACTTTATTATTATTACTTTCAAATACAGTGGTAGAGAAATCTAGTTCACCACATTCATGAAATCAATAGATTCAGCCAAAAACCCCCCATAAAAATAGGCAGATAAATAACAACTAAATAAGCCCTGCCAAATATTTATTATGGCCTCAGTCTGAGGGGTCCCTGGAAAATAATGATAGATTNCTCTCCCCCCCCCCCCCCGTTGAATGTTGAAGTTATGTATTTTTTAATAACTTCTTTAATGCAACCTTTCTTAGGGAGTGTTAGGTACTTAGAAAGTTAGTCAGCCGAACTTAGCCAGAACCAATTAGTTCAGATAATCAACATTCTACTCTATATGACAAGAGATTTATGTATTTATTGTTGTTATAAGTATTTAGCTCTTGGTACTACATCAGAGGTCTGTCATTTGTAAAAAAAAATAATTTAGTTTCATTTACTTTTTTTACAAAAAGAAGCAATATAATTGAATTGCCAAAAGATGGGGCACTCAGAAATGAATCCATAATTTACCAATAACTAAACAAAAAACAAAAGAATTTCATTTTATGTCTTACAAAATATTCAATTTCCTCAAGAATAGATGGCAGCAAAGAAATCTTTCCAAAATTAAAAAAATGTTTGTCTCTCCCTGCATTGTTTTTAATTTTTTAGAAGCCTATATTTTTCTTTTCTTTACAAGATGTTCTTATATATATATATATATATATATATATATATATATATATATATTACATTCACCTGTGACACATATTAACTTACTAATTAAAAACTACTTGCTTAAAACTATCTAAATTTTTTTTTATATTTCATCAAAATAAACAAAATATACTATATATAAAAAATATGTTTCTCTCTCTCTGTTTTTTTTTTAATTTTATATAACCATATATTTTTCTTTTTTTTACAAGATTTTTATATATATATATATATATATATATATATATATATTACATTCACCTGTGACACATATTAACTTACTAATTAAAAACTACTTGCTTAAAACTAGCTAAATTTGTTTTTACATTTCATCAAAATGAACAAAATCTACTAAATATGAATCCTGTAAACAATAATGAACTTCAAAATAGTTTAATACCTCATAGAGATAGTATGTCTAACCAGACTATCTTGTTATATCTAATACTATATTAATAATATCAATGTGTACCAGACTGCAGAGCTAAGCAATTATGCGCCATCATAATGGTCATTAGGAGTAAAGATTATACTATTATCTTTGATCAGTTCAAATGTAATATACCAACACGTTAAACATGAACTACACATAGCAAACCTATATCCAGAAGTGCTTCCACCTCTCCCTCCACGGCCACCGACACTGTGGTCTCTATCACGAAGTGAGGGTCCTCTGTCGTCTCTTCCTCCTCTTTCCTTACCGCCCCAACGACTGCGACCTAGTAGTATAATATATCACAGAAAAGATTTTTCCATTTGGTTGACATAATAAAATTTTATCATTATTTCCTTAACATTACGTTAAGCTTAATTTGTATATGATTCTGGACCAAAAACTTCAGATCTTTAATTAATGTTACAAACTAAGATGCCAACCCTAAAACTAATAATGATCATAATGCCCCCTCTCTGCTTTGTCACTGCTGACATAATCAGCTGCTAGCAAAATGGCCATGAAAAATGGGAATTATTTAATGTGTGTTGTTAAAGGGGAAACCCTTCTAGAGAAATGAATTTGCTTCCTATTTCTGTTTCTATCTGTCTAAATGTGTTTTTATCAAAGCTTGTTTTGTGATTAATAAGAAACAAATTTGCTCAATTTAATTTATTTAAATTGCCATTCTGCCTTATGCTGGAGAGGCAACAGACTCTTTTTATTGAAATTAATTCAAATAGATTCAAATGAAAACAATGATTTATGAGATATTCCAAGCGATAGTAATGACTGTATTAGCGCCAATGATAATGACAGTATTAGCTCCAATGATAATGACAATATAAAAAAAGTGTCAGATATTGACAATTTTAGCCCTAAGCTTAATCCCATTGTTACAAATTCATTTGGGGAAGGTGGAAATTAAACAGAACAGACAAAGATTAAATCTCAAAGACCTTAAGAGATACAAAGAAATTATGTTTGTGTATGTTCTAGAGCAGTGGTTCTCAACCAGTGGGTCACTACTGGACCTTTGGGGGTCGCACAACCCTTTCCCAGGGGTCGCCTGAGACCATCAGAAAACGCATATACTTTACAGTTATGAATTAGCAATGAAAATACTATTTTATTAGGGGGTCGCCACAACATGGGGAACTGCAATAAAGGGTTGCGACATTAGGAAGGTTGAGAACCACTGTTCTAGAGTATAAAAAAATGGATTACATAAATTCAATTGAAAAGGAATTTTTGAACTCATTTTGCATTTTTCCCTTAGTTATTTTGTATGACAAAAATTTGATTGAGTAAAAATTCACCAAAATCACACTTTCAAAATAAGTACGACATTTTATGAAAGGATATTTATTTTGATATCTAAAAAACCTGATGTAATAATAGGTAGAACAAAGAGGTGAGTTTGGGATGAATGCAAAAGTTGAGTAGTACAATTTTATTCACAGTGTAAAAGTTAGGTCCATATCAACTTAAATAATATAAAAACTAATTCTTTTTTCAAATCATTGGTGATTCCTTACCTACGGTAATGTACTTTTAGAAAAAATATATATGTAAGGGTCCCTAATTCATTTTGTGGGGGATTTAGTTATTTTAGACAAGGATATCAAAATACTGAAAATGACTTGATACCACAGAGCAAAAGCTCTAGGGTTAAACTTACTTTTGCCCTGATAACTCCTGGAAGACTCTGCCATCTGAAGAAGCTTGGGACTAATCACCTGCTTAGCTTCACGCAGCACAGAAATAAGATCAGAGGCTTGCTTGACGTTTGCTGGTGTAAACAGGGTGTATGCAGTGCCTGTATTTGTAGAGCGAGCCGTGCGGCCAATGCGATGAACATAATCTTCAGAACAGTTGGGATAGTCAAAGTTGATGACAAATTTTATGTCTTCAACATCTGCAGATATAAGGAAAAAAAATGTATTACAACAGGTTTAAAAATATAGAAATGAAATTTAGATTTCTTTGTAGGAAGTTATTGGATGTGTTTCTATGGGATGACATTCAATTACGCTTTACCTTTAGTGGTCTTATGAAATCATTTCATTTATTAGGATTTTCATTAAGTGCACCTGCTGCTTCTTCTTTCATTTAAATACAATAAAATTGTATCTCATTTTCTTCTAGTTCCTAAGAATTAGTGGCATTCTTTAGGATTTATTTGAGCCAAGTTTGTAAGACAAAAGTAAAAATTTTAAATTAAGCTTTGTCAAGTCTTTTTTTTTTTTAACAGGAGACCTTTGCCTGATGAAATAAAAATGGCATACATTAGCCACTACCACTTAGGACTCAAGAATAAAATGTAACCAATTTTTAATTTATTACCAAGGCCACTTACCTTGAACTCCCACAAATGACGAACCAAAACTGTATTAAAATACCTATTCTTTAATTAACATTTAAAAATACTTTGTCAATATTCATCTGATCATATCTTGTATGCTACTGTTTGTATGAAAACCCTTCAAATGAGGAAACTTAACCTTACACATTGGAACAACCATTGCATCTAGCCACTGAATTTTCTTTTACAATTAGAAAAATCGAACGTCACTCCTGGTGCATAACAGAGCAGATTTTACAAAACTGTTTCATAATTTTTTCTAATTCAAGTGGAATGCAACATAAAATTTTCTTAAAATTGAATGTGCATTTTAAGTGAAGAAGCAATAGAGTCCTTATATGTATAGGCAAGTTCCCATATTCAGTGCAGACTTAAAATAAACAAAACAACCTTGTGTCTGATGGCATGACTTCAGCCGCACCAGCGGAAATAGAGAGAGCTACCAAACTAAATGGCTGATACAAGGGCTTTCTTTAGTGTTGGAAATATGGCAAGATTAGCTTACCTAACCCTTGACGGTTGGGGAGGGGGGGGGGGAGGAGGAGAAAGAGAGAGACAACAAATGGTGGTTTTAAGAAGGTTGAGAGGCTGTGTTGATCATTAACCAAAAACTTTGATAACATTGACCCCAAAGCTCCCCTGTGCTGTGTGTGCTGAGGGCACAGGCTAAACGAGTCTCATGTAATATAATTTAAACAATGAAAATGCAACAAACAAAGAACAAATCAAGACAAATGGCACAATACCTTCACACTCCATCATCTTAAAAACTGATAGCACAAGATAACAAAATTATTAAAATTGCACCCCTTAAAAACCACTTACACAGACACTAAGACTGTGCAGTAAAGACAGGCTCGTCTCCTCAAAGGCAGTCCAATGCTAATTTCTGCATTGTAAGGATTTGTACTTTGTGTAGAATCAAGCTGTCAGCCTCGCAACCAAACTTACATAAACTTTGTGGGGGTGAAAAGAAATTTTCATTGTCTCTTTTTACAAGGTCCACTCTTTTTGTAACAAATGTCCCACAGAAGTTGAGATAAGGAGTTAGGAAAAAATATTAGCCCTTGTCAGCCGAAGGGGAAGAATAGGGAGTGTGACTGGCATTCGGCGTCGTTAAGAACATGGCCTGCCTGTCCAAGGCATCCAGCGACTGGCAGACTCGAACTGAATCAACCTGGCCACTGGATTCCTGGTAAAGTGGGACATGATTAAGGACCATATTTCCCTCTCAGGTTTCTCGCTGCACGGTTCTCCAGTCATGATCAGACTTCCAGTCGATGCACCAATTCTGTCGAGATACACACTAAACTGTTAGTTAATTAGGAAAGCCATATGTAACTACATGCATAAATATCCTACAATTTTAACCTTAAATAGTTGTTTGTTAAAAAAGCAGCGGACAATTTCTAACCAATACATTTGAACAGCAGGTTAGGGTGCATTTGTATTTAAGAATACCATGGATTGTCTTAAGTCTAAAATTATCATTATGTTCCTGAAACAGTATAGATTTATGTCAACAGACTGAAAGAGAGGTCACAAAAATGAAAAATAATATCTGTTGTAATATAAATAACAAGCTAAAAAAATTTGAACAACTAGATATTTTTTAAAAATAATATTGAGATAAATTTACTGTTACTTTAACCTTAACAATTTTAAATTAAATTTGTTATATTTATTTTTATTCTATTTTAAAAGGCTAAATTTTAAATAGCTTAAAATAGTTTACATAATATTCTTTTAATACTTTTAAATATTAAATCTAAAAAATCATAACAAACTCCAACAAAGACAATTGAACTTACCTAAACCTCGAGAAGCCACATCAGTAGCTAGAAGAATAGGGGTTTTTCCACTTCGAAATTCTGAAATTAATTATACATGCCTTAAAACTTTTGTGTCTTTTTCCCAATTTTATGTACAATTGATCAGGTTTAGAAGTAGAAAAACATTCCCAAACTATTGGACAGTCAACCACAAAAGACTCATATTTGCTTCATTTGTATTATTTTTATTTTTATATATAATTACATATCAATTTAATTCTAATGAAAATTTAAAAATGCAAGTTTACCATTTAGTGCCCAATCTCTTTCTTGCTGGGACTTATCACCATGGATACAAATGACAGGCCAACTGAATGAACAACAAGATGATAAAGTCAAATAAGTTTCATGTTTTCATTTTTAACATCTGATATAGGATGAAATAAACTCAAAATTTAAAAAAAATTAAATTAATTATTAACCTCTTTGCTGCTACAGGTTTTTATATTTTGAATTCAGTTTATTTTTTAAAAGTAAGGTCCATTGTCATTGTAGGATCATATTTTCAGATTGGTATTAAAAATTTTTGTATCTAACCAATAAATTTATGATTAAATAAAATGATTAATGAACAAGTGGTTAGCAATTGAAGTTGTTGAAGAAAAGTAAAAATTTGAAAAGCAATTAGCTAATCCTACAAAGTCCTATTTATTAGTAATATGATATTAGAGTTTAGTCTAAAAAAACGTACCCATCTCTTTTCATGCGTCTGGAAATATCATCAGCTTTTCTTTTTGTTTCAACAAATATAAGCGTTTTATTCTCTTTCTCTTGCATAATTTCAGTTAAAAGCTTGACAAGCCTACAGAGAATGCATTATAACGATGTACAGTATGGTGGTGTAGCATACAAATGAAAACAAAGGAATGAAAATATGTTTTCCATTTAATATTTCTTTAAAAGAAAATCAATTTCTCCTGCAAGCAGAAATTGTTAAAATGTTCAATAAAAATATTTTACTTACTTATCTTCTTTTTCAAACTCCATACAAACATCGATGATCTGTAAAATATTGTGATTGGCTGTCAGTTGCAGAGCTCCGATGTTAACTTGAACATAGTCATGTAAAAAATCTTCTGCCAGCTTGCGAACTTCCTTTGGCCATGTAGCACTCCACATTAAAGTCTGTCGGTCTGGCTGTATATATTTTTAAACGTCAATGTAAAATTCTCTTTATTCTGTTTTGTCTGAAAATTCTCTCTTGCTCTTTTAACTAATTAAATTGAAATTCTCAACACCAAAACTAACGGCAACTTTAATGTTAACAAATGCCAAGAAGAAAATCACTTACTCGAACTTGCTCCAATATTTTCCTGATCTGGGGCTCAAAACCCATGTCAAGCATTCGATCAGCCTCATCAAGAACAAGGTATGTTGTTCGCCGCAGATTTGTCTTATTTGATTCTAACAAGTCTATTAAACGTCCCGGAGTTGCAATGCATATTTCAGCCCCTAGATAAAGGTTAAATCATATATATGTGAGATATCTCTCTTTAAATATTAATATTTAATTTAATATTTACAATTAAAACATATCAAGAATTTGACATTGACATTTTTTTAATACTTAAGAGGGATCATGTTTTAATATGTTCACTCAAAATAACATTTTTTCTTAAAGTTAAAGACATAAAAAATAACATTTTTGTAAAAAATATCCAAATTTTAATATAATAATAAATAATGTTTAACTTACCATCTTCCAGATCCTTAATTTGAGGTCTTTTAGGGGCACCTCCATAGACACAGGCATTTCGAACTTGAGATGTATGCCCAAACTCCTGAGCTACTTGTTGCACTTGCTGGGCTAACTCTCTTGTTGGGACAAGCACAAGACACTAAAAAGCAAATTATGATTGCTATTATTGAACTATTATTACCTTTTACAAAATTATAAAACATACTGACATAAAATAAGTAAATCTTCAGATCCATCAATCTATGAACAATCAGATGTGTGGTAAAAATAAAAAACTTACTATTGGTCCATCTCCTCGTTCTAAATATGGCTGGTTGTTAATATGCACAATGCCTGGCAACATAAACTGAAATGAAATTGTTGTTTCTTTAAAAGCATGTCTAGAATAAGTTTAGAAAAATTTAAACACACAAATCTTCATTAACTTAAGCAGTGGTCAGGTGCTACTATTATACTTACAGCTAAAGTTTTACCAGAGCCTGTTTGTGCTATGCCAACCATATTTAGACCTGACATAGCTACTGGCCAGCCTTGAGATTGTATGGCTGTAGGAGACTGCCAGCAGTTTTTTCGTATCTGATTCACTACATAGTCTGAAATTTAGTTATCAATATTTTTTTAAAGAACTCAATAGAACATTTTTAAAATTTTGGTAAAAATATTTATTTAATATCAAATTATCTTAATTTATGTGTGGGCTTTTGGGTGCAAAATTTTTTTTTTTTTTAAAAATACAGTGGTCTCTCGTCTATTACAGGGGTAAGGTTAAAAAACCCTTGTGATAAGTGAAAATATGTGTAGTTACCTTCTTATTTAATTTATCATTTATATATATTTTAAGGTTTTATAAACTCTCCCCACACTCTTATAAACACTTCATGTGTTCATAAACATTTGCCACACCTTTAAACCTACGTAATTTTAACCACAAATAAAATTCAATATGTGTATCTATATTAAATATATTGAAATAACAAATACGAGATAAAGTGAGACCGCAAAAAGTGAACCGTGATATGGCGAAGGACGACTGTACGGTAAGCTTTTTCGGAACAGACTATTGTGAAAAGTAATTTTAACCCTTAACAAAATTGTTAGGATAATGAAATTATTAATTTGTAAGGAATAATAATAAATTACCAGGAAAATTTCCTTCCTCAAATGTAAATATTGGCTTGGGTATACTTTTTCCATTGACTGTTATTTGGTTAGCTTCATAAAACTGTTCTATTTCACTCTAAAGAGAAAATAAGTTATTATTTACTGAAAGAAAAATCACCATTATTCATCATAAATTAAGTATGACATCTTATTAGGGTAATAACAAATCTTACCATGTAGTAGTATACAATAGGAACACCTGATATTTAAAAAAGGTTTAAAAAATAGTTTTAAACCAAAATTGGAGTCTGGTAATTAAATGCCTCATATTTTTTATAACTTATTTTAGATGATTCTTACTAGGTCAGTTAATAGGAAGAAAGAAACAGAAATATAAATCAATAGATTTGGATGCTAAAAAGCTTTTAAGTCTTAATATAATAATAATATATGGTAATAATATTATTACTTGGTTAAATTATGCATTTACATTCTAAATTAAATTTCTCTCATTTATACAAATACATTTCGTCATTTAAAGAAAAGTTTAGCTTAAACGTCCTAAACTTTCTTGTGTATTTTTTTACAGATATGAAGCAAAAAATATTATATACAACATACCGGTGACCTCCGACTAACATTTGGATGCTCTTTGTAAAAGTTTTTTTCAAACTTTTGCAGTCTGCTCATATCCCATCTTGGCTTCCTTAAATTTTGTCCCGGCTGAGTTCCCTTCAGAGAAGGTCTGCTGGATCTATCCATCATGCCTCCTCTGTCAAAGCCACCTCGGCCTCCAGCACCACCTTGATCTCTATCAAAACGCCCTCGAGAACTTCCTTCAGATCTACTAGAAAAACCACTAAAAAGAACAAAATATCTCCTTATACCGGTGTATTTATAACAAAAATGTTTTTTTAATTAACACCATGAAAAAAATAATTTAGATTTTGGTATATACCATTGTGTTACTCCATTTAAACCATTTGGATTATTCTTGTGTTGTGAACTCAAATAAATCTATCTTTTTCATAGTGAGTTGGCGAGTTAATGGGTACATCGTTGAAAAAATAGTGATTACGTGAAGTGAAAGCTGAAACAATACTTTTTCTTTACATTACACAAACATTTTTACAAAAGGAGAAATTTTAATGTTGATGGAGGAAATCTTATTTTTAGTGAAACAGGAGGATTTGTCTTCCAGTGGATACCATTCAGCACCCTATTAATGGTTGAAACCAGGCCTATGGTAGTAGAAATCACCAGTGGCTGCCTAACATATGAGCCAAAGGAAGACAACAGTCCAGAGATGCTTATTAAAAACGTTATATTAATTTTACTAGATGTGTAGTGGAGAGGGCAATTGTGTGACTTTGCCTCTAGCGGCATTTAGTTTAGTTAAGGTAAACCACTCTACTGGGTAGGATGCAACTAACTAGTCTAAGTCTTATGCAAGGTCGCAAAAGCAACATTGTGTATGTTATTGGGGTCCATCCATAAATGATTTTAAGCTATTTTGCACTCCTTCCCACACTACACATATTTGTCAAAAAAATTCAGACACTCTCACAATAAACTATCACAAATTCTTGGCCACTTTCCCCCTTTAAACCTCTTGAGACAGGTGGGCCCACCCATCAGCCCAGAGTCGAATGGCGAAAAAGACGAAAGGCAGATCCATTGGCACAATAATAAAAGCCTTGAGATTGGCTGGCTTGTCTTTGTAACAGCTAATTAGAATGCGTCTGACATTTCTTGATCATCTCGTATTTTAATGGCGGCTTGCATTGATAGTTTACTGAGTTCTGTCATTTCAAATCATTTTTATGTTTACATAGTGACCACTAGACATGATTAAAAAATAAGTGACCTTAAAATATGCCAAAAGGCAAAAGCAGCCCCAGGGGATTATTTTATGAAGTTTTTCACATCGAATCCCATTCAAATGTTTGCTATAGGCTATGACTTATTTAGGCTTCAATTTGCAACTAAGACATGTTTATTCTGAGTGTAAAAAAAAATTGCATTCATAAATTATGCACATTAGGTTATCTCATATACATAAATGCTGAGATATTGCCGTATCCGGGTACAAATTCAATTATTATTTGTATATTATTCATGATGAACTTACTATTTATTCAAATATTAAAATAGTTAAAATGAACTGTGGTCATTATCCCTTCAAAGCAGCGCTACTAACTTCACTGTTTTTTTGCACAGACACTATGCACACTCGATGGAAGAATGGTTGGTACAGGCTTAAGTGGCCTTATAATAATATATATTTTACCGATAATGAAAAATTCTGCATATAATGAGAACCCTACTTTTAACACTTATATTCACATAGTGCATGTAATTTTAAAAAATGACTTCTATTTACATTATGGTATAGTAAAAATTAATATAAGACATAAAATTAATAACTTTAAAAATTAGGATGGTATTAACTAATTAATTATCTATAATTACATCTAAATTTCTATCAACTTCTTTAGCTGAATCCATTAAAAAGAAATTGCTTTTGATCTGTGAAAAAAAAAAATCATCAAACTTTGACGAAAATCTGGCTTTAAACAAGTTTTCATTTAAAAGTTGTGATTTATTTATTTGGGGAGAATTTAAACATGTAAGAGTGCGTGCAGAGCTAATGTTATTGTTATAAGTCATATTGTAAGGATATAATGTTAATGTTAAGTAGCTGATGCTTTTTTTTTTCTTTTTCTGGGTTTCATTGGGAAATGAACTTCAATCTGAATCCAACCATTGAATGTCTCTAAAAATCTAATTTTCAAAAAAATATTCAGATACACATCTGTAACTGTAGCAATAATAGTAGCATTAGCAGAAGCGAATACTTGAAAAAAAGAAAAGGAATATTGGACCCGGGTGAATGTCCAAGAACATGAACGATGGTTCTCTAATAAAGATCCTATTAGTTCATTCAATTCCCTAGAAGAATATATGTTGATAGTTTTATATTTGTAAATTAGTTTATTTTGTGTAAATATTTTACAAAGTGCAGAGCTTGTGAAAAGGTCTCTGTGGTGTCTTCTTGTCATCATGTCTTGTGACACAAATTGAGTTTTTTTGGCACAGACTCAGACAGTCCAAATATTCTCTGTCTCAGTCAAACAGAGTACAGAGGATTAAATTTAAGCTTAAGATTCCAGCATCATTTATGGATGGCATCTTGTGCACCCCCCCCCCCCCCCACAAAAAAAAAAAAAAAAAAAAAGCACCCATGCCTCTTGTTGCCCTCATCATTCCCCCTCCCCCAGTTACGTCACTGGCAATAACTACTCTCATATTAAACTACAAAAATTATGTTAACCTTATTGCCCTATAGTAACTTTTAGATTCAGCATTAATCAGGGTGGTAGTATAGTGTTAAATTTAAATGATGAGCCAACTAGGCCTAATCTGCTACTGATATACGGTAGTAAGTAAAAAGAGTCCCTCAAAGTAGTTCTACCCTACCTACATACTAAAATCACGCAAAGAATAGATTTTAGTCTTAGCAGTTTGAATAATTATAAATCAGTGATTCGTCATATTCTTACCCTCTGCTTCTATCTCTGTACGACATGGCAGAATCGTTTCTTTAAACAATTTATTTTTGAGAAATTAATGTTCTTAATACTGGCATACGAATACTGTGTAATGTGTAATTTTAATCATTCATTGGCCACATTTCATAACATTGAGTGTTTCCAAGACATTTCATATTTATTTTGAAAGGGGGCCTGGGACTGTATTTAAAATTTAAATAGAAAACATATTTTATGAGGCTTCTAAGATAAAATTGAAAATAATTTTCATCTAAGATAATTTATTTGTACTATTATTAATAATTAGATTACTTATTTATAACCGATGCATAAAATTAATAAATAACTTTGAGCTGTTGTCAATAAAACAAACTGGCATACACCGAAACCAGAGGTAAACACTGTTTAGCTATCTCTAGCAGAATAAATTATTGTATCCATACGCCGTGCGAATCATTTTGAGACACATTAGTTACTTTTACATAAATTATGATAAATTTCAAATAAATTTCAAATAATTCTACTATTAGTAATTTGTGGCCCAATTTACTACTGACATCGAAAAACTATTCATTAAAAACAAGTGCTTATTATAAAATAGGCCCGGACGACCTCTTAATATTATTTTCTTTTTTTTTAATGACCTTCTGTCACATTCCTCTCGCGGCCTCGCCCCCCCCTTCTTTTGCTGTCCTCGCCCCCCCCCCTTCTTTTGCTGTCCTCTCGGCTCTCGGATACTATATTGAAGTTAAGTGTTTTTTAGAAATAATTTTAAATTGTTTTTACTTTTGTTTGTTCGCTGAAGAAGGATTCTTACCGATACGTTTGTTCTTTTGATGCGTCTTTTCCTCAGGTTTTCCCATACTTCGTTTCGCTAATTTCTTAAATGTCTTTAACCACGGGAGGTACACCGTGAAAAATGGAAAAAAGCCTTTTTTCGATTTAACAGTAACCATTGATATCAAATTAAAGTGTATTCAATTCTGCACAATTATATATGTATTTATTTTTAATTTAAGTTAAATAGTTCTTGAGATATTAATTTTTTGTTAGAAGGGGGTGTATCAGAATTTTACCCCCCCCCCCCAAAAAAAAAATATTTTTTAAAAATTATTTTTCTTTCTCAATTGTATTAAAAAAAAAAATCCTTATACTTTTTCTATCTCAATTGTATTAAAACAAGGATGACCTCCCCAATAATTGTTTAATACAATGATCAGTCCTTTAAATATGGCGGCTTCCATGGAAATAAACAAAACATTTTTGTGAATATTAAAATTGTCTTAATATTTTTTTTATAATTTGTTTATACAATGCCTAGTGATAAAAATATTCAAAGAAACGAGCGTTTTATGAAAATAGATATACAATACTAAGCATAATATTGGACCCAATGAGGATATTTTAAATGAAATAAATTAATCAAAACAATCTGATTCCATTGGCCATTGAATGATTGAATATAAATATAATATGAGTCATATTTATGAGTTTATGACTTACTCCTGCCTTGACTTTGAATTTAGTGGTCTTGATAACACCAAATGCCACGCCCACCCAGAACAAGTCAGAAAAAAAATTGATAGACATTTATGGAGTAAATGGTTCCCATTTATATTAAAATGAAAATTAAGTCATCTGTAAATCATTTTATTAAATTTTAATGTTTATAATTACAGGGAATCAGCAGAAATTAATTTAACTAGGCCAATTTTTTAGACTTTAACCATCCAATTATTTTTTAGTAAATTTTTAGATATTTATACCCAAAATGTGAACGAATCAATGAATAATGTTATATTGAAAATGTGCCCTAAGAACAAATATCATGGTTTAAGAGCTGTCCACATTGGTGTTGACTTAGCAACCCTTCTTTTCAATGATTATGATGTATCCAAAGTATTGGAGGCTCCTCTAAGATTTCGCAGCTTTCTTTTGGACAGTTTACTTTCAATTATTTCATTATTATGGGTGCTAAGCGGATATCGAAGACACAAAAATCAAATGAATAAGTCCTTAGAAGATAGAAGAATCAGAAGAAGGCTCAAATTTGGGTTAGAAGAGTCAAAAGTTGAAGCTAAATTACATCCTTATCTTTCAGGGGGGTCATTAAAATTATAAAATTGATTTACTTAATGAACAAAATTATTGCGCGTTCATTCACAAAATTTCAACATTTAATTCACATAAAAAATGATAACTTTTTTAAATATCAACCAATTTGTTTAAAATTTTGCATGATACTATATTATATACTTGTCAGCAACTAATATATTAATAAGTGCACATTTTACAATCCATCAAAGTTTGATTTTAAAATGTCAAAATTAAGATCATTTGGAATGCTGTGATACAAAAAGTATTCAATAAATTACATTTTTCCTAGTTGTCGCCAAAGCTAATCCATATTTCTATATGGTTAGAAAATTGTAATAAATTTGAGCTTAAAACATTCTAACTATTTTTGTTTGTGTGACATGCCAGTTTCCAGCATCCCATTTTTCTTTTTTTTTTTTCAATGTTAGCAAACTATTTTGTTCAACTACTAATGGTTATTTTATGTGTTATAATGGTAGAATGACCATTCCTCTAGCTTCAGTGAAAATTTGACACTTGTAACTTAAATAGTTTTTTTTGTGTGAATTTTTTAGTAGTCGACCTGTGTTCAGGGTGTACCTCCCCCCTTAACCACTTTTAATTATATTTTTTTCTTTCTTTTTATTAATCCAGGGAGACTACTTTAAGAATCTGCATATTTGTTTGCAAAATGTGAATCATAAATAAATTTTGTAAAAATAAGTATATTATTATTTTAAAAAAAAATAAAAAAAATAAGCCTTTCTTTTGAAGACGAGTTCAAACGCCCTTAAAAGTAGAAAATAATTTCATTAAAATCCATTTACGCTAAAAAAAATATAATAGTTAATGGTAGTAGTAGTTAAGATAGTTAGGAGCTCTATGTACATGAATAAAATTCAGCAGAAGCATGAAAATTCCCGACTATCAGGCCGCGGAGCGGCATGTTGGAGGTACCTTCTGCTGGGAGAGCCGCCCGCAACTTCACTCGATTGACTAGGCAAAAGAGGGCCACCTTACCAATGGTTTTTGGCAGGTCGGTAGTGCTGATATTTTTTACAACTCAAGCATTCCAACTTCCAGGGTCGGGATGGTACATTAACGTTCTAATATCCCCCCCCCCAAAAAAAAAAACCAACAAACTCCCGACCCGGGGAAGCGTCGGGTGCCCTCTAATAAGGCTTTTTAAATTGTGTTTCTACATCGTAAATAGTTCACGAAGTATCTGGGACGAAATGGTTACCTAGGAATTGCCTCCTAAAGCCCTGTAACTGTAATAGAATCAATAGCATGGGCTGCCACTACCTGTCTTACGCCTCGTATCTGTCAACGGTACCGTAGTAATCATGATACCTACATTGTTTCTACCGTTATTTCAACTGCAGATAGAGCCAAAGCACTGTAGTTGCTACAATTTTGGCAGATATAATGCATTACCTTTGTCTGTCCACGCAGGAACCACGCATGAAGGTAATGTTCCCTGGGTAGAGCTAGGGGGTCGGTCAGTGGCGTAGCTAGGGGGAGCGGGGGTTGCGGACTGCACCGGGTGACACCATCTCAGGGGGTTAATACCAAATTGAAAAACTGCATAATACAGAGCACACACTGTTCGGTCTAACCGAATTTCATAAAAGGATAACCGATCACACGTTAATTTTCTACACATATAGCCAATCCAAATGCATGCTTTATTAAACGTTCAAGGTTGATGCGTCAGAAATGAGGTGACCCAATAATTAGGTCATAAAAACACCGCTGACCATGATTGAACGCCAATTGAAATGTTCGGTAACTTTCATGACACTCTTTTGCAGAAAATGCGTCATATATTACATTTTTTGGCAGACTTGAGATAATATTTTTCTTCTTTGCTGCATCCACTCATGGATGGGATTTTTTAATCGAACACATGGATATGGCGGTGAAAAGACTGTCAACAACACGTTGCAGGACTGCTCATCATGCTACTGTTAAAGCAGGACTGCTCATCATGCTACTGTTAAAGCAGGACTGCTCATCATGCTACCGTACTGTTAAAGCAGGACTGCTCATCATGCTACCGTACTGTTAAAGTAGGACTGCTCATCATGCTACTGTTAAAGCAGGACTGCTCATCATGCTACTGTTATAGCAGGACTGCTCATCATGCTACTGTTAAAGCAGGACTGCTCATCATGCTACTGTTAAAGCAGGACTGCTCATCATGCTACTGTTAAAGCAGGACTGCTCATCATGCTACTGTTAAAGCAGGACTGCTCATCATGCTACTGTTAAAGCAGTGAAATATGAGTTTGATGAATGTGTGGTGGCGATTAAAGCTCTGTGTGATCCTCTGGAAAATTTGGATACAAGAGACACTGATCAAGCACAAGGTTTTATGTCTGTGATTTCACGTTGATCTGCTACTTTTACCTTTGGCTGATCTACTTGGGGAAGTTCATCTTACACAGCAGTATAATGCAGACTAAAGGCTTTACTCTTTACAAAGTGGTGACCAACCTAGAGGCCTTAAGACTTTTTCCTGCAGTAGAAGCGATGCCACTTGATGGAACATACTAATTAAAAGTCATTTTTAAAATAAGACCAATATGAAATGTTGGTAGAGAGAAGATTCAGGTTTCAGAAGAGAATGGCCGGAGAACAATTAATTAATAGATGCTGGACTCTCTGTGCCCAAAAAAATCAACAAGGAGATGCTGGAGTGTATTGATCGCTTTCATTCTGAATTCCAGATCATATCATCAGCGATCAAGTTTGGGGCTGTTCAACCCAAGAGTCTTTCAACACGTGAAGAAGAGTTATTGGTGTCTGTTCCAAAATCAACCTATTTCCATGATGAGTTACCAGAAGATGAACTTTAAAATAAATGCCAAGGCTTAGAAGACACCAACAGGCAGCTGATATTGAATTTCAAAAAGTCATGGACTCGTCAGTATTTGATGTTTTGAAATTCATATCTGCTTGGGTCTTCCTAAAATCTGATCCAAAACTCTCGCTAAGCTTTCAATTGTTTCAAACGATCTGTGTGTTTTTGGCTTCATGTGAGTGGAGCTTTTCA